CCATAGAGATAGGCGCCGTTAGAGATAGGCGCCCCTAAAGATAGGCGCCCCTAGAGAAAGGCGCCCATAGAGATAGGCGCCCATAGAGATAGGCGCCCCCAGAGATAGGCGCCCCCAGAGATAGGCACCCATAGAGATAAGCGCCCACAGAGATAGGCGCCCCCTAAAAATAGGCGCCCCTAGAGATAGGCGCGCATAGAGATAGGCGCCCCGAGAGATAGGCGCCCCTAGAGATAGGCAACCCTAGAGATAGGAGCCCATAGAGATAGACGCCCTTAGAGATAGGCGCCAGTAAAGATAGGCGCCCAAAGAGATAGGCGCCCATAGAGACAGGCGCCCTTAGAGAGAGGCACCCATAGAGATAGGCGCCCCTAGAGATAGGCGCCCCTAGAGATAGGCGCCCCTAGAGATAGGCGCCCCTTGAGATAGGCACTCATAGAAATAGGCGCCCATAGAGATAGGCGCCCTTAGAGATAGGCGCCCCTAGAGATAGGCGCCCATAGAGATAGGCGGCCATAGAGATAGGCGCCCCTAGATTTAGGCGCCCATAAAGATAGGGGCCCATAGAGCTAGGCGCCCCTATAGATAGGCCCCCCTAGAGATAGGTGCCCATAGAGATAGGCGCTTATAGAGATAAGCGCCCATAAAGATAGGCGCCCCTAGAGATAGGCAGCCCTAGAGATAGGCGCCCTTAGAGATAGGCGCCCCTAGAGATAGGCACCCCTGGAGATAGGCGCCCATAGAGATAGGCGCCCCTAGAGATTGGCGCCCCTAGAGATAGGCGCCCCTAAAGATACGCGCCCCTAGAGACAGGCGCCCATAGAGATAGGAGCCCCTAGAGATAGGCGCCCCTAGAGATAGGCGCCCCTAGAGATAGGCGCCCCTAGAGATAGGTGCACCTAGAGATAGGCGCCCATAGAGATAGGCGCCCCTAGAGATAGGCGCTCATAGAGATAGGCACCCATAAAGATAGGCGCTCATAGAGATAAGCGCCCCTTGAGATAGGTGCCCCTAGAGATAGGCGCCCATAGAGATAGGCGCTCCTAGACATAAGCGCCCCTAGAGATAGGTGCCCGTAGAGATATGAGCCCCTAGAGATAGGCGCCCCTAGAGATAGGCGCCCCTAGAGATAGGCGCCCCTAAAGATAGGCGCTCATAGAAATAGGCGCCCATAGAGATAGGCGCCCCTAGAGATAGGCGCCCCTAGAGATAGGCGCCCTTGAAGATAGGCGCCCATATAGATAGGCGCCCCTAGAGAAAGGCGCCCATAGAGATAGGCGCCCCTAGATATACGCGCCCCTAGAGATAGGCGCCCATAGAGATAGGCGCCCATAGAGATAGGCGCCCATAGAGATAGGTGCCTATAGAGATAGGAGCCCCTAGAGATAGGCGCTCATAGAGATAGGCGTGCCTAGAGATAGCCGTCCCTAGAGATAGGCGCCCCTACAGATAGGCGCCCCTATAGATAGGCGCCCCTATAGATAGGCGCTCCTAGAGATAGGCGCTCATAGAGATAGGCGCCCATAGAGATAGGCGCCCATAGAGATAGGCGCCCATCGAGATAGGCGCTCATAGAGATAGGCGCCCATAGAGATGGGCGCCCCTAGATATAGGCGCCCCTAGAGATAGGCGCTCATAGAGATAGGCGCCCATAGAGATAGGCGCCCCTAGAGATATGCGCCCCTAGATATAGGCGCCCATAGAGATAGGCGCCCATAGAGATAGGCGCTCATAGAGATAGGCGCCCATAGAGATAGGCGCCCCTAGATATAGGCGCTCATAGAGATAGGCGCCCATAGAGATAGGCGCCCCTAGATGTAGGCGCTCATAGAGATAGGTGCTCATAGAGATAGGCGATCATAGAGATAGGCGCCCATAGAAATAGGCGCCCATAGAGATAGGCGCTCATAGAGATAGGCGGCCATAGAGATAGGCGCCCCTAGATATATGCGCCCATAGAGATAGGGGCCCCTAGAGATAGACGCCCATAGAGATAGGCGCCCATAGAGATAGGCGCTCATAGAGATAGGCGCCCATAGAGATAGGCGCCCCTAGATATAGGCACCCATAGAGATAGGCGCCCCTAGAGATAGGCGCCCATAGAGATAGGCGCTCATAGAGATAGGCGCCCATAGATATAGGCGCCCCTAGATATAGGCGCCCATAGAGATAGGTGCCCCTAGAGATAGGCGCCCCTATAGATAGGCGCCCATAGAGATAGGCGCCCCTAGAGATAGGCGCCCCTAGAGATAGGCCCCCATAGAGATAGGCGCCCCTAGAGATAGGCGCCCCTATAGATAGGCGCCCATAGAGAGAGGCGCCCCTAGAGATAGGCGCCCCCTAGAGATAGGCCCCCATAGAGATAGGCGCCCATAGAGATAGGCGCCCCTAGGTTTAGGTGCCCATAGAGATAGGCGCCCATAGAGATAGGCGCCCCTATAGATTGGAGCCCCTAGAGGTAGGCGCTCCTAGAGATAGGCGCTCATAGAGATAGGCGCCCATAGAGATAGGCGCCCATAGAGATAGGCGCCCCTAGAGATAGGCGCCCCTAAAGAATGGCGCTACTAGAGAAAGGTGCTCATAGAGATAGGCGCCCATAGAGATAGGCGCCCCTAGAGATAGGCGCCCCTAGAGATACGCGCCCCTAGAGATAGGCGCCCCTAGAGATAGGCGCTCATAGAGATAGGCGCCCATAGAGATAGGCGCCCCTAGAGATAGGCGCCCCTAGAGATAGGCGCCCCTAGAGATAGACGCCCCTATAGATAGGCGCCCCTAGGTCTATGCGCCCATAGAGATAGGCGCCCCTAGAGATAGGCGCCCATAGAGATAGGCGCCCCTAGAGATAGGCGCCCATAGAGAGAGGCGCCCCTTGAGATAGGCGCCCATAGAGAGAGGCGCTCCTAGAGATAGGCGCCCCTAGAGATAGGCACCCTTAGAGATTGGCGCCCATAGAGGTAGGCGCCCTTAGAGATAGGCGCCCATAGAGATAGGCGCCCCTAGAGATAGGCGCCCATAGAGAAAGGCCCCCCTAGAGATAGGCGCCCATAGAGATAGGCGCCCATAGAGATATGCACCCCTAGAGATACGCGCCCCTAGAGATAGGCGCCCATAGAGATAGGCGCCCCTGGAGATAGGCGTCCGTAGCGATAGGCACCCCTAGAGATAGGCGCCCCTAGAGATAGGCGCCCCTGGAGATAGGCGCCCCTAGAGATAGGCGCCCATAGAGATAGGCGCCCCTAGTGATAGCCGCCCCTAGAGATAGGCACCTCTAGAGATAGGCGCCCCTAGAGATAGGCGCCCCTGGGGATAGACGCCCCTAGAGAAACGTGCCCCTAGAGATAGGCGCCCCTAGAGATAGGCGCCCCTAGAGATAGGCGTCCATAGAGATAGGCGCCGCTAGAGATAGGCGCCACTAGAGATAGGCGCCCCTAGAGATAGGCGCCCATAGAGATAGGCGCCCATATAGATAGGCGCCCATAGAGATAGGCGCCCCCAGAGATAGGCACCCATAGAGATAGGCGCGCATAGAGATAGGCGCCCCGAGAGATAGGCGCCCCTAGAGATAGGCAACCCTAGAGATAGGAGCCCATAGAGATAGGCGCCCATAGAGATAGACGCCCTTAGAGATAGGCGCCGATAAAGATAGGCGCCCGAAGAGATAGGCGCCCATAGAGACATGCGCCCTTAGAGAGAGGCACCCATAGAGATAGGCGCCCCTAGAGATAGGCGCCCCTAGAGATAGGCGCCCCTAGAGATAGGCGCCCCTAGAGATAGGCACTCATAGAAATAGGCGCCCATAGAGATAGGCGCCCCTAGAGATAGGCGCCTCTAGAGATAGGCGCCCCTAGAGATAGGCGCCCATATAGATAGGCGCCCCTAGAGATAGGCGCCCATAGAGATAGGCGCCCCTAGATATACGCGCCCCTAGAGATAGGCGCCCATAGAGATAGGCGCCCATAGAGATAGGCGCCCATAGAGATAGGTGCCCATAGAGATAGGAGCCCCTAGAGATAGGCGCTCATAGAGATAGGCGTGCCTAGAGATAGGCGTCCCTAGAGATAGGCGCCCCTATAGATAGGCGCCCCTATAGATAGGCGCCCCTTGAGATAGGCGCTCCTAGAGATAGGCGCTCATAGAGATAGGCGCCCATAGAGATAGGCGCCCATAGAGATAGGCGCCCATCGAGATAGGCGCTCATAGAGATAGGCGCCCATAGAGATAGGCGCCCCTAGATATAGGCGCCCCTAGAGATAGGCGCCCCTAGAGATAGGCGCTCATAGAGATAGGCGCCCATAGAGATAGGCGCCCCTAGAGATAGGCGCCCCTAGATATAGGCGCCCATAGAGATAGGCGCCCTTAGAGATAGGCGCCCATAGAGATAGGCGCTCATAGAGATAGGCGCCCATAGAGATAGGCGCCCCTAGATATAGGCGCTCATAGAGATAGGCGCCCATAGAGATAGGCGCCCCTAGATGTAGGCGCTCATAGAGATAGGCCCTCCTCGAGATTGGCGCTCATAGAGATAGGCGCCCATAGAAATAGGCGCCCATAGAGATAGGCGCTCATAGAGATAGGCTGCCATAGAGATAGGCGCCCCTAGATATAGGCGCCCATAGAGATAGGCGCCCCTAGAGATAGGCGCCCATAGAGATAGGCGCCCATAGAGATAGGCGTGTGAAGTAAGGAAAACAGGAATGAGAATGACTAAGGAAAGATTGGGTACAAATACAACCCTAGAAACCTTGTACCCCATATGTGCTACCCCACTATAGCCTACAAACATGCATGAGCTATAATACTCTGACACACCCCCATAGGCTAAGTGGGGGAGAACAAGGGGTCACAAGACCAGTCAAGCAAAGCAAAGCAAAGAAAGCTCAGGGTGGATCACAAAGTCACCACACAGTCCGAGCACAAGAGCAGGGCCAGAGGCCAGTTCACATGCAGGAGTACAGACATATATATAAAACTAGACAAGCACGAGCAGGTATATATATATGTCACAGTACAAGTGAAGTCAAGAGGAGAGCAAGTGAGGCAAGAGGTACAAGACCCAGCTGGGTGCAAAAGCGCTGATGGTCACAAGGCGCGAGTGCCTTGGTGAACACATCAGCAGTGTTGGCCTCAGAGGCCACGTACGCAAGTCGCAACTGACCACGCTGCTGCAGCTCACGAGCAAGGAAGTAGCGGAGAGCAATGTGCTTCGTTCTGTGCTCCAAGCGCTGCTCTCGACACAAGGCCAGCATGGCCTTGTTGTCTACGGACAGCACTGGAGGAGAACGAGGCGGCTCTCCAAGGTCAGTCAGCAGGTAGGTGAGCCAGCGAAGCTCCTGTGCAGCCATGGCCCCGGCGTAGATCTCAGCCTCACAACTGGAGCCGAGAACCGAAGACGAGCGAGTAGACCGCCACGAGACAGAGCCGGAACCAAGGCTGAAGGTGTAACCCTGTGACGACCGCTGCGTAGCCTGGTCGTCAGCCCAAGAAGCGTCCGCGTGGCCGGTAAGGACCACTGGACTCCGCCCTCCAAGCACTAGCCCCATGCCCGACGTACTGCAGAGGTAGCGCAATACCCTCTTCGCTGCAGCCATGTGCTCTGGTCGGTGTCTCCCAGGAGCAACATAGCGTGCAAGAATGCTCAGAGGGTATGCAAGGTCAGGTCGTGTGCAGGTCATCAGGTACATGAGGCAGCCAACAAGCTCTGCATACGGACCACTCGACTCTACGGACTCATCCGAAGGCAGAGCTGAGAGTGAGTGGCGAGTAGGCAGAGGAGTGGCCTGAGGCGAGGAGTACGTGAAGCCGAAGCGCTGAAGGACCTGCTGCACCATGTGTGACTGAGTCAAGGTAATGGTGCGGCGTGCTCTGTCCCGAGTGATCTGCAAGCCAAGGTAGCTGCGCAGTTCACCCAGGTCTGTGCACGTGTGTCTCTTCAGCAGCTCGGACTTCACGTAGGCGAGTCCAGCAGTGTCCGCTGTGGCAAAGACCAAGTCGTCGACGTACACGAGGATGTAGAACGGCGGCAGGGAAGTGTCGGTGCGAAGAAATAGCGACGGGTCAGAATTAGAAGGAGCAAACCCAAGAGCCGCAAGCGTAGTCCTCAGTGTGTCGTGCCACTCACGCGGTGCCTGGCGGAGACCGTAGACTGGCCGTCGGAGGCTCCACTGGGTGCCAGGAGGGAAAGTCCCAGTGAAGCCAGGTGGACGGCGAAGCCAGATCTCCTCGTGCAGGCTACCCTGCAAGAACGCAGTGCTGAAGTCGAGAGAGTGAAGCTCGTAGTCGCGCTGAGCGGCTATGTGCAGCAGCACCCGAAGAGTAGTCATCTTCGGGGTGGGAGAGAAGGTCTGAAAGTAGTCAACTCCCTGCCGCTGACTGAAGCCACGAGCAACGTACCGCGCCTTGAAGACAGGTGGAGAGCCCGGCGGCCGCTTCACCCGGAAGATCCACATGCCACTGACGATGTTCGCCCCAGGAGGGGGAACTGCGTCAACGTAGGTGCCTGTGGACTTCCAGGAAGCCATCTCTGCATCCATAGCTGCCTGCCACTGAGAGGAGTAGGGACCCTCTACGGCCTCCGCGTAAGAACGCGGAGTCGGGATGTCTAGTGCATCCGGGTCTCCCTCAGGGGCAAGCAGTACAGACGCGAGATGAGGTGAAGCAGTCGCTAGACACTGTAACTCCTCCTGCCTGTCCTCTAGGACGTCCGTGCCAAGAGCACACTCACCCCCGACGGACGGAGGACAGACAGACGCAGACTCAGCAACAAGACTAGCAGCGTAGTCGAGACGACAGCGAGCAGCAAAGTCGACGAGCTCAGCGACTAGAGCAGACGCAGCAGTGGACTCAAAAGAGGGGTCAGTGACGACAGTAGCAAGCAGACGCGTGACAGTAGGACTGGCAGCACGAAGAGAGTCCGACCCAGGGTCGGCAAGCGCAGGAAGAGAGGACTCAGGAGGAGAAGGCAAAGGGGCACGCAGAGGAGCAGTGGACGGACGCAAAGACATCCGGTGCGTGCCAGGGACAGGAGGAGGACGGTGACGCGAACTGCGACCACTAGCGCGAGCAGTGCGAACAGGCGACGCGGGACGAGACGCAGGCTCACGACGCTCAGCAAGACCTCCAGTAGGACCAGTGTAAGGAGAGGGAGCAGGCAGTGGAGAGGAAGGCTCTAGCAGGGACTGCGACTGGACAGGCGGTGGACCCTCTACTGGAGGAGAAAGACCAAGAACCTGCTGCAGGAGCGGAACGAAGTACGGCCGAGGCCGCGCGGCAGCTCCAGACGCAGCAGGGACAGCACCAGCACCCTCAGCGACAGCACCAGCGCCACCCACACCTCCAGCGGCAGGACCAACAGAAGTAGGCTCAGCACCAGCGCCCGCAGCAGCTCCAGCTCCAGGAGGACCCGCAGGTCCAGCAGCTCCGGGACCAGCAGCACCCGCACCCTCGACGGTCGAAGAAGCTCCAGCTCCAGCTCCAGCAGCACCTCCAGACTCAGCAGCACGCCTCCAGCGGCGAGCGAACCACTCGCGCAGCTCCTGTGGAGAGAGGGGCTCCCGGCGAGACGCAGCAGCAGGAGAAACCCCAGGCTCAGCAGCTCCAGACGCAGCACCCCCAGGCTCAGCAGCTCCCGACCCAGCACCCCCAGACCCAGCAACTCCAGGCACAGCACCCCCCGGCTCAGCACCCCCAGGCTCCGCACCCTCCGCAGTAGCACCCTCAGGCCCAGCACCCCCAGCAGTAGCACCCCCAGGCTCAGCACCCGCAGCAGCACCAGAGTCACCAGTAACCTCGACCGGGTCAACGGCGTCTACCTGGGACACACCTGAGGGGGCAGGAACCTGAGGGGGGAGGGGGTCTACCGGGGGGGGAACCGGCACAAGGAAGTCCGGGGGAGGGGGGAGGGAAGGAGTGCGGTAGGGGAAGAGACGGTAGAAGGGGACTGACTCGTCGAACGTGACGTCCTGGGAGGACAGAACACGACGAGAGGAGGGGTGGTAAAACTGTCACCCTGGGGCGTCAGTGGGGAAGCCAAGGAAGACACAGGGAGCAGCACGAGGAGACAGCTTGTCCGCAGACAAGTCGCGGACAAACGCCCGAGATCCCCAGACACGGAACACAGACGCATCGCCAACCTTCCCCGTCCACAGCAAGGCTGGGGACATCGCCGGCCGAGAGACCCGGGGGTGAAGGTTGAGCTGATGCGCCGCGTACCTCACCGCAAACGGCCACAGAAAATGAGGGGCAGCCGCATGCATCATGGACGTACGAGCGACATCCATGACCATGCCAATGCGGCGCTCAGCAATCCCATTTTGCTGTGGTGAGTTCGGAAGCGTGAAGGTCTGGCGGATCCCCCGTGCACGACAGTAGTCCCGCAGAAGGCGAGAAGAGAACTCTCCGCCTCTGTCAGAGTGCAGACGCAGAACAAGAAAGTCCGAGCCGAAGCTCTTCCTGAGCTGGAGACGAGCCTCGCGGATCCAGTCGATCAGCACCTCAGTGACCTCATCCTTGCTGCGCAAGGGGAGGACTGTGGTGTAACGCGAGTAGTCGTCAACCACCAACAGGAAGTAGCGCTCGTAACCCTGCCCACGAACGGGGGCTGGGCCCCACACATCCATGTGAAGCGTCTGCAGGGGAGCCTCTGTCGGGGGGAAGTGGGAGGAGTGAGGAGTAGCCCTGAGGCGACCCTCGACACAGGGGACACAGGAAGGTCCTGGCCCGGAGGGGAGAGGAGGGAGAGACTGGGGAAGGCCAGAGACAAGGACACGGGAAGCCATGCTCCGAAGACGGGGCAAGGAGGGGTGGCCAAGATGGTGGTGCCACAGGAGAGTCTCGTGAGACAGGAGGCGACAAGAACAGGGGGCAGACTCAGGACCTGACCGGGACGCAGCAGCAAGTACCAGACCCGACGCAGCCACCTGACCAGACGCAGGGACAGGAGGAGACTCAACGGTCAGGGTGTAGAGACTCGACCCCGGCCGACGCGAGAACGTGGCCAGGTGTCGGCCTGTGCGTGCCTCCGTGCAGTGGGTCACCCGCTGACTCGCAGGCGTGAACTGGTGAACACCCACATCCTACAGGTCCGCTCCACTCACCAAGTTCGTAGAGAACGAGGGAAGGTACAGACCCGACAGGGTGCCCGAAGGGGCAGCCGGACACGGGAGGACAGTGGAGAAGTGAGACAGGACAGGACCCCCAGAGGGGTCAGCAAGGGAGACCGCGGTCGGCCGGCCGAGCGGCGTAAGGGTAGTGCGGTCTCGAAAGAAGGAGCGAGAAGCTCCGGAGTCAAGTGTGAAAGTGAGGGAGGACGAGGACGACGCAGTACCTGAGAGCGCAGTCTCACCAGTACCTGAGAGCGCAGACGCACTGGCACCTAGAGCAGCAGCCTCACAAGCACCTAGCGCAGCAGTACCAATGCCCGGGTCGGGCTGGAAACAACGGTAACCCTCATTCTCCTCACTATAATCCACAACATACATAGCAGCAAGAATAGCATCAAAATCAAGATCAAAGATCGCTACACCAGCCCTGAGAAGCTCATCCCAGCGAGGGATCTCACTAGCCCCAGGGAACTGCTGACGCCAGGCGTCCGTCAGGCGGCCAAAGCAGCGCTGGGTGGCGTGGGCACCCCCACACTTCTCACCCGCGCGGTCGCCGGAACGAAGAACGTAGGTGCAGGGACCAGTACCCCCACCCCTCTGACGCCCAGCGTACCACTCACGAAGCTGCTGAGGCGGAGGGATGTCCCGCGAGCGCTGCTGCTGCTGCCGCTGCGAGCGCTGGCCACCACCACCGCCGCTACGCTGCTGGGTACCACCTCGACCAGCTCCACCTCCTCCACCACCACCGCCTCCTCCGCTGCTGCCTCCACCGCCTCCACCTCCGCCGCCTCCACCACCGCCGCTGCCTCCACCACCACCGCTGGCACCACCACCACCGTCTCCGCCACTGCTGCCACCACCACCACCACCTCCACCACTAGTCCCGCCGCCACCCCCACTCCCTCCGCCGCCACCACCGCCACCGCCACCGCCCCCTCCAGCTCCACCCGCGCCCTTGCCCCCCTTGCCCTTGCTGGAGCGACGTCTCCCACTAGGGGCAGACGCCGCGCCGACCGACTCAAGACCAAGCAGGTCAGCAGCAGCAGCAGAGGCAACAGAGGGCAGCAAGGGGGAAGGAGAGCACCCCTCAAAGATGGGGGTGCGAGGGTCACCACGAGAAGCACCTACAGCGACTATGCTCTTCTCCGCTGCGAGGAGGGCCTTCTCGAGGAGGTCGACGGTGAGGGTGGTGGGACAGACTGCGAGAAAGTGGTCCCTGACGACGCGAAGGGAGTCAGGGAGGCGCGCGACTACGTAGTAGAGAGCGATGTACATGGGGGGGGGGTTCTTAGCGCAGAACTCAGCAGGAAGGGCGGCGCGGTAGCGAGTGTCACTAGTGCGGAGGTGCGTAATGAGGTCAGCGACAGTGGGAAAGGCAGAGAGGTCAGGAAAGAGGTAGGGAAGCATGAGACGGCTCAGTGCAGCAGTGGCAGGGGAGGAGTAGCGCGCAACTACAGCGTCGTACAAGGTCTGAGCACTCTTGTACTGACTAAAGTGCGCACGCTCAGAGGTAGGGAGGTGGCGACGCACAGCAAGACGTGCAGCAGCATCGCGGGTGGCCCACTTAGAGCGGACAGCGGGATCAGCATCAGCAGCAGGAGCAGGAGAGGCGCCAGAGGTGAGGTCAAAGAGAGAAAGGTCGTCAGCCCTGTCGCACTGTAAGAACAGCTGCAGGTCGTCTAACCAGACCTCAAAATCAATGGCGCGACCCTCAGCGTCAAAAGCTAGGACACTAGGGGTAGCCAT